TTGGGGGTGGGGGGGTTTTTATTGGGGGGGGAAATTTTATGGGCAGGGGGGGAAAATTTGTTCTGTTATAGGAAACAGGGGGGGGCCCATGAATGGGGGAATTGGGGCTTGAAAGGGGAAGGGGGTTTTTAAATTTGGATCTTTTCTTTAAATTTTGGGAAAAAAAGGATGGGGTTTTTTGGGGGTTTAAATTCCAAAATACAAAAATTTTTAATGTTTCTTTTGGTGTATTGCAGCATTTAAAAATGAGAACATTTTGGATTTTTAAAAATTAAGTAAAAATTTTACGAAATTGGGGGGGAATATTTTTTTTAAACAAAATATTGCCTTTTAAATAATTTAATTAAAATGGGTTTCTTAAATAAGGGGAAGGGTTTTTTTTTTTGGAAAAAATTCATCTTTTTATCTTAAATGTTTTTTAAATTAAAGTTTTTTTTCAATTTTTTAAATAAGAAAATCAGGGAAAGGGCTAACTAAAGATTTACCCTCAAATTTTTAAAAATTTTTTTGTTTATTTGAATCTCTTCCAAAACTGAAAAAGGCCAATTTTAAATTGATAAACAATTTTAAAAAGGGTTTAAAACATTATTCAATTAAATTTTTAAAATTGGGTTTTTAAAAGAATAAATGGATTTTTTTTTTAAAAAGGTAAAAATGATTGAAATTTTTTTTGGGGGTTTAAAACTATGATTGGGAAAAAAGTAGGTCCCTTTTTTTATATTTTGTGACAAGGTTTTAAATATACTCATGTAAGAAGGGTGATCATTTTTTAAAAATTTTAAAAAAAAAGAAAAAAATGATTTATTGAAATTAAATTGGTCCCAAATTGGGGGGATTTACAAATTTTAAAAAAATTAGGAAATGCTTTTTAAAATACGTTTTAAGTTTTTTGGGTTCAACGGGGAAAAGGAAACCCTTTTTTTTCATGTAAGCCTTATATAAAAAAGGGGGGCAAAAGGAAATTTATAAAATACAGCCCAAAGGGAGTAGATTTATAATACAAAAGGAAGACAGTAAAGCTGTCATAAAGTGTAGGATCAATCATTAACCAATCTACAGGGTTCTCCCCATATGAGCTCCAGACAAGACGGATGTTTCCAGGACCTGTTACCCGCATTCCAGGATGGAAAGGTAAGCTTGCACATTTATCTCATAAAGATTTCTTCAATGAGTTACAGGTCCTGGCAGCAGAATTTACAAAATACCAGACGACACTGGAACGTCCAGGCTCGGGATCAGTTGGGGAAATCGACTGGGTGCGCATGAAGGTCATCAAAAGAAAGTGGTCTGAACCTCGCTTCGCCAGACCATACCGAGTCGTGGAGAGGACATCTCATGCTGTCCGTCTACAAGGGAAAGGAGCCACGGCGCACGCTGCAGGGCATACAGGAGAATCTACAGTCTCAACCTGCGGTTGAGGAGTGTCTGAGGGCCATCACAGCGCGGAGGAGGATCTGCATTTCCGGGCAGAAGTCTGCCAAAACCACTTCATTTTCCTGAATTATAAGGCTTAAAAGGCCCGGATAGGCACAATAATCCTGTTCCGGTGTCCTTCCATTGAGAAAAGGAGATTGCACCCTCTCCTTAAACTCACTGTTAAATTGGCATAATACTCCAATTTTCAGTGAGCAACGGACACTCAGGTGAAAACCTGAGGTTTACAACTGAGGAGGAACACGTGAAGGATCAGGCTACAAGATCACCATTAACTTATCTTCTTTTTATTGCGTGTTTTCGTTTTTTGCGAACTCTTCAAGAACATTCGTTTCTTTTTGCGCGTATTTTTGGATCGTTTCCTGACGCAGAATTCATATTCATTTTTGAAAGACTATCGAAGGAGCATAGAGACGAACTCTAACTTCTTATTGTTGAATTGTGAAAAAAAAGAAAAAAAAAGGTCTTTTGTAATTTTTATGTGTTTATGATGTATTTTTTTTTATGTTGTTATTGTTTTGTATTGACAAATTGTAATTTTTGTGGCGAGTATTGTCTTTTATGTCTGCTGAGCATTTTTTAGTAATTTCGAGATATCTTACTCTGGTTTTCTAATTTTATACTTGGGCTGGTATTTCTATTGTGTGTTTTCTTCTATTGACATAACTGAGTTTTATGATTTTTCATGTTTGATAAGTGAAATGTATTTTTAGTTTAGTTTTTACTGGTTAAAATTTTGTGGTTCATCAGGTGAGTATTAAATTGTTGGACAGCGCAAGAAACATTTGATAAGTTAAGATAATGGAGTTCAGCTTCAGACACATGACCTGGCAGTGGAACTAGGAGGTGCTGTTTAAAAAGGGGACTGTTATATAATTGGGCTAATGTTTTAGTTTTTTAGTATACTAAATAGTTTTTTGGTTCCTCTATTAGAAGGCTTAATCATTTTATTTGTGAGGTCTGTATGTCTCAGACCTCAAAACGGGGACTGTTAAAGAAAAATGATTATTTTAGTCTTTAATACAATTAATCTTATGGCATGTGTAAAAGGTATGTTGTATACTCTCCTTTTCTCATATTTCTTATTTTGAACAAGTTTGTGAAGATAACCTTTCCTTGAACCAGATTACTAAATTTAAGTTTGTTCCTGAGAATTTATGGTGAGGCCCCCCGCATTCCACAAGCTGTCTGTGGAAGCTTATCTTGTGTTTTATGACCCTAAGAATTCTAGATGCCAGGACAAGCTTTCCGCCTTTTCTTGTTAAAACAAAGAAGCAAATGACCCCAGATGTTTGCAGTAAATAAGGGGAAGCTCTAGGCAGTGTCAGAGATGGCGTCTGGTTGGAGGACCAAGGGCCAGCCTTATGTGAATAAATTAAATACAAGAGGATAAAGCTTTATACATAGAAGTAAAAAATCAGATTTTGCTCTTGCAAACTCTCCAAAGATGTCTTGTACGTCTTTGCTTTCTTTCCTCCTATGTCAGGTAATGGAATGTATGTCTCTGTTGTTCTGCAGTTTCTGGTGTAGGTTTGTGCATTGTCTTATTTCTAAGTTTATGCATTGTCTTATATTGGATTAAACTCTGTAATTCTGTGACGTCAACACGCAATGTTGGTTTTTATTACCAAACGCAGCTCGCCGGGTGGACCTGGAGAGGGAAGAATGAGAAGCCAACTTTTTTCCAAAGTTAACTATGTTAGAATATTTTCTTCCTTTACACTACGTAATTGTCTTGTAATGCCATGCCAGTCCAGACCTAAATTGAATGAATACCCTAACTAAAATGTTGACATATTTAAAGGAAACAGAGAAAATGTTTTAATGACAATACCAGGAAACATTTACATCATATCTGAATAGATAGAAACAAAAACTATGAGAAAGAAATATTAATGCACAATTCAACTCCAGGTGGGCTGCGTGACCAAACAGGACGCAGCTGCACAGCTGATACTGCTTAGCTTGTCTAACAGTTTACAGCACAAGGATGCATTTTAAACACGTGACCAACCCCCTAATAATTTTTATTTAGTCTCTTCTCATTGATGAAAACTCAAACCCGTGACTCATCATGCTTTCATTATCAAATATCCATGTTTAGCTCGTCAGTTTTTGTTATTGTCATGAAAAAAAGGAGCATCAAATAAATAATTTTGTCATTGTCATCGTTGACAAAAACAATGCTGGTGAGCACATATATTGTCCATGTTTTTAAGATATCTACAAGCCTCACAGTCTGATTCTCTTTTCAATAAGAAAACAACAGATATGTGTTCATTTTAATCTTTAACTCTTAGAAATGGTCTTTTGAGAAGCCCAGCTTTTTTAACTTATATAAATGTACAAACTGTTGCAATTTTTAGCTGAAAAAGATCTGTATGTGTAACAAACTGATTTTTTGATGGCATCTCTAATTTCTTTAACCAACCAGTCTCCTAACTTTTATTTAAACATATATCGAAGTAGATGCCGATTAAAATTCACTGAGTGCTGCTATGTCTCTCCTCCAAATAATATTTAATATTATAATATTAAAGCGACAGATCCAGCAGTATTTCACCCAGAGGTGGGACTCGAGAGCAGCGGGAGTGCGATGGAAAAAAAGGACTGAAAACGCTCTGAACACAGACAGCTGCACCCAACCCCAGTTACTGTTAGCTAAAGTAAATCAGCGGAAAGGGGGAAAAAAGCAGAAATTAATAGTGGGGACTGTCCCCTCCATGCCATGGGTCCACACGAGCCCTTCAGAAGGTTACGCCAGTGCCCACACATCTTGCAAGGGATTACATAATCACACTGCAAATTCACACTACAAAGGTGAGAATGACCCCTAACTTCAGCATGGCAGGGAAAAAGGCATACAGTACCTACAAATCAGCCTCACATAAGCTCAAAGTGCACAGAAGCATGTGGTGGAGAAGAGAAAAATCGATCATGCTCAAAATATGCCTTCTAAAAGAACATCCAGCTGGCTGCAGACACATAACTGTAAAAAATGTATGCGATTCTGGGTTGACAAGAGTAACAGGTCACTGGTGCAATTGTAGTCTTTTATATACAATGTGTAAATATCCATAACAGGTCATCAACCCACAGACCCAGTATAGACATGATTTGGACGTTCATCATATGTCTTATGTTTAGTGAGAAGAGCACCAAATAATAACGAAAAAAACCCACTTCTTATCAGACAAGCGTTGTTCGATCCAACAGTGTCTCTTAAACCATAAATAATCAATAATCCACAAATTTGTAAAACAGTTCTACATAGTTTCATAAATTATTAGTGTGTTATTATCTTCAAATAATTTGAGCTATTTTGTACTTTTCAACAAGTAGTTTGAAACTTTTTAAAAAAAAACTACAAACAAAACATTATTTTTTAGACAGTTTTACAATAAACTATTTTAATCTGACATCAACAAAAGCACAAAATGAAAGTCCTTCATTGTACAGAACAGCATTCTATTTTCACTTTGAGACATCTAAAACTATTAGGAGTTTTACAGTAAAAAAGATAAGATAGTTATAATAATGAGATTTATTTATACATTTTGATGGATTTCTCTCGTATTTTATAACAATATAAAACAAGAACTTTTTTTCTGTTCACATAGTCAGAAACAAAAAAACACTAAAAGTGATATGATGACTTTGAGTGTCATAAATACTTGTGTTTTGCCGCTGGTCTTTGAAAAAAAAGATGATAGTCCTACATCGTACAAAACTATATCATATTTTTCAAGTGAAGGTAGGGTTATTATAGTAAAACAAATATATATTTTATGCAGTTATGGAAGTGAGATATATTTACACATTATGATGAACTCCAGTGGCATTTTATTACAGTATAGAACAAGACTGTTCTCTGATCACATAGTAAAAAGCAAATGACCACTAAAGGTGGTATGATGATTATCACTATCATAAATTCTTGAGTTTTCCCACTGATGCAATAATACAACATCTCCGATCTCTAACAGCAATGTAACAGCCTTTGATGGGTTAACAACATAAGAAGGCTGATGCTCATATGCAATAAAAACAGGATTTCCATTCTTGACCAACACAGCAGCTGTAGGATGTGACGCATGCCCACCTCCATATAAGTAGAATTCAAAGTGATAGGCTCCTCTCACAGGTGCAATGAAGAAACCTGTGAAACAAAATGTTTCTATTATGATTTTGACTGTAAATGTGTTTACATAAAGATACACGAACCAGATTTATGTCAGTATTTGTAAAGAGAATGTTGGAGTACCTGTGTTTGGGTTGTAGGCATTGCCAATATTTGCAACAACATTCCTGAAGACTAGAGGTCTCTGTGTGTTAAATGGTCCAATATTTCCTGATCCTGAGGCCAGCAGGGAAGCAGAGAAAGCCACTCGTTTCTCTGTCAGAAATTGAATATAGTTAAAATCAAAAAGATATCTTTAGAAACAATCATACATTTAGACATTTTTACTCAAATTGTCTTTGTTGCAGCTAAAATAATGTTTTACAAGAAAACCAACCAAGTACCATCTTTGGATAAAAAGAGATGTTCAAATAACTTAATGGACAAGCTGAAAAAAGGTATTTAACTTCATTCATGTTGCAGGACATTATGAAATATACATATTTTTTAATATTATTTTTTCCAAACCTTTTCCTTCCGTTCTTAGCCACTCCAGTTGGAGCTCAGTGTTGTTTGCCCTGGCTTTAACTGAGGTCAGTTCTTCTGCCTGAGCTGTAAATTTATCTAAAAAAAGAAAAACAAAAAGAATCTAAAAAAAAAATAAAACATGTTTCTCTTTCATTCTCCAAAGTAGCATATAATCATCAAGAATACAAGCTCATAAATACAAATACATAAATACAATGGCCTCTTGCCATTGATATTTTAGAAACTGTTAAATCAACCAGGTTTGCCCTCAATATAGACTGCATATAAGCAACACTATTTACAAACATTTCAGTAAACTGACTGTTTATCTATTATTATCTATTTTGTAAAACCATCACCTAAGATTATTTACTCTTAGAATAATGTAATAAATACCTTGATACTGCTGCTCCAGCATTCTTAATTTTGCTACTTGTACTGAAAAACAAACCAACAACAATAAATTGAAGAAACAATTCTGTGATAATATCAGGTGCTTGCTTTTTATGTTATATTTACCTTGGTACTGTTCTTTCAACAACTCTATTTCTGTTGTCTTAGCTGTTTGCAGAAGTAAAATGAAAAACCTTTGAATGAGATGCCATTTACAAAAAAACAAGAAGATTTTTTAAAGCTTTGGTTTTCTTAGTTAACATACCTTCATTATCCCTCTGTAAGTACTCCACGCTAACCTTGAGTCCACCCAAAGAGGCGCTCATCTCTCTCAGCACAGCATTGATGTCCTGTGTACATCTTTGTTGGGGGTCAGAGATGTTTTCTGTCTGTGATTCAGTTTGCCTTGAATGAATCTCTGAGTCTGACTGAAGCAAAGCTGCAGAAAAAGAGCAGATTAGAAGAAACAACTGCAAAATCATTACGTTCTCCATTCTTATCCTTGTGTATTTAAAGTCCCCTAAAGTTTTGGTTCTTTGTTGATGCAACCCTTAAATACTCTCAAAGTTTGATTAATAATTACCCTTTTTCAAGCCAGAACAAACACTACAGGTGCTGGTCATAAAATTAGAATATCATGAAAAAGTAGATTGATTTCAGTAATTCCATTTAAAAAGTGAAACTTGTATATTATATTCATACATTACATACAAACTCATATATTTCAGATGTTTATTTTGTTTAATTTTGATGATTACAAATGACAACAAATGAAAATCTCAAATTCATCATATCAGAAAATTAGAATATTGTGAAAAGGTTCAAAATTGATGGCCCCTGGTGCCACACTCTAATCAGCTAATTAACTCAAACCACCTGCAAAAGCCTTTAAATGGTCTTTCAGTCTAGTTCTATAGGCTACACAATCATGGGGAAGACTGCTGACTTGACAGTTGTCCAAAAGACGACCATCGACACCTTGCACAAGGAGGGCAAGACACAAAAGGTCATCGCTAAAGAGGCTGGCTGTTCACAGAGCTCAGTGTCCAAGCACATTAATAGAGAGGCGAAGGGAAGGAAAAGATGTGGTCGAAAAAAGTGTACAAGCAAGAGAGATAACCGCACCCTGGAGAGGATTGTGAAACAAAACCCATTCAAAAATGTGGGGGAGATTCACAAAGAGTGGACTGCAGCTGGAGTGAGTGCATCAAGAACCACCACACACAGACGTATGAAAGACATGGGTTTCTGCTGTCGCATTCCTTGTGTCAAGCCACTCTTGAACCACAGACAGCGTCAGAAGCGTCTTGCCTGGGCTAAAGAGAAACAGGACTGGACTGCTGGTGAGTGGTCCAAAGTCATGTTCTCTGATGAAAGTAAATTTTGCATTTCCTTTGGAAATCAAGGTCCCAGAGTCTGGAGGAAAAGAAGAGAGGCACTTCATCCACGTTGCTTGAAGTCCAGTGTAAAGTTTCCACAGTCAGTGATGGTTTGGGGTGCCATGTCATCTGCTGGTGTTGGTCCATTGTGTTTTCTGAGGTCCAGGGTCAACGCAGCCACATACCAGGAAGTTTTAGAGCACTTCATGCTTCCTGCAGCTGACCAACTTTTTGGAGATGCAGATTTCATTTGTGCCTTTTGTTCACAGTGCCAAAGCTACCAGTACCTGGTTGAAGGACCATGGTATCCCTGTTCTTAATTGGCCAGCAAACTCTCCTGACCTTAACCCCATAGAAAATCTATGGGGTATTGTGAAGAAGAAGATGCAATACACCAGACCCAACAATTCAGAAGAGCTAAAAGCCACTATTAGAGCAACCTGGGCTATCATAACACCTGAGCAGTGCCACAGACTGATCGACTCCATGCCACGCCGCATTGCTGCAGTAATACAGGCCAAAGGAGGCCCAACTAAATACTGAGTGCTGTACATGCTCATACTTTTCATGTTCATACTTTTCAGTTGGCCAACATTTCTATAAATCCTTTGTTTTTATTGGTCTTCAGTAATATTCTAATTTTCTGATATGATGAATTTGAGATTTTCATTTGTTGTCATTTGTAATCATCAAAATTAAACAAAATAAACATCTGAAATATATGAGTTTGTATGTAATGTATGAATATAATATACAAGTTTCACTTTTTAAATGGAATTACTGAAATCAATCTACTTTTTCATGATATTCTAATTTTATGACCAGCACCTGTATAAATGTATTTGTCATAGACAAGACTTGTTTAATTGGGCTTGTTCTATCAAAAGGCAGAATCTTTTGTCAAGGATAATATTTTATGGGCAGACTCACATGCGCTTGTATAAAGTATAATCTCCATTTTCACTATCTATGAATGAGGTTCTTGTTAGAGTGATAACTATTCTGTGTTTCAACCAGAAGGGTCATAAACTTTTATGACCTCCTGTAGGTCATGAGGCAGAATCACACGGATGTGTGACTTCCATCCAGCCAGTTGGTCAATTCACACTATCTTGTTACCTGCATCCTCCCAGACAATGATTACTGGCTCTTCTGTTTTAGGCCCGCCTGTTTGATGTTGTAAACTGTTAATAAAAGGTTTTGCCATGAAGGGATCTGTGGGAGAAGGTGATGGCTTTCCAAGCCAGCATTCTTCT